TCCCTGCACGGCCTGGCCTCTCTGTTGTCTTCTGTCCGTCGTCTGTGTGGCCAGGTGAGCGAGGGGGTACTGTGGGGAGGGCCAGGCATCCCTCATCCCCCTGATGACCCTTTGCACTGGTATGTCCCCAGCCGTCCTTGGCATGGGATGTTAGTTTCTACCTCAAGGGAGAAAAATCTCTTTCCCCAGGAAAACCCCCCTTTTTGGGCGGCTCTGCAGCCAGGGGAGCTGCAGCAGCGTGATTTCTCCTCCACCTGATCCCCGGGGCTTCCTGCACGGCAGAAAAACCCTGCCTGGAGCTATGCAAAACCCTCCCGTGATCTGGGGGAGGAAGAGAGGGTCCCCCACCCTCCCTGGGTGCCGGCCTGACAACTCTTAACATGACACAGTCTTTTCACAACATGAGTTTGTTTCTTTTTTAATGCCGAGTTGCCTACGCAATTAGTTGCTGGCTGAAATAAAACTGATCCATGCCTCTCTCAATGCGTGTGTATATCTATCCCGATAGATATACATGGAGGTAGGGGTTGCCCTCCAGTTGCAGTGGGCCGCAATCGGTGGCTAACTCAGCACACGTCTCCACGGGGCCCCTCCGCTCCCTCCTTTCCCGCGAGGCGAAGCATTGCTAGTGCCATCGGTGTTGACCCTGGGTACCTGCAGTAGCTTGGAAGGGCTCTCTGGGCTTGGAGGGCTGGGAGTCTTTTCCCAGGAGTCGGGCCCCAGCATGCATCCTGATGCAATGTTTTCACAAGTACAAGTTTCCATAGTGGACACTTGAGTCCTGCTGGTGTTCCTGTGTGTCAGGGGAGGGTAGAGGGGTTGCACAGCTTCCCCTGGCTTTTTGGGGCCAGCCTGGGGGGAAGAAGATGGCTGTGCTCAGGGTTTCCTTCTCCTTGGGCACCCCACTGTCCCCAGTGGCTTGTTGAAGGGCTGTTTTTTGGTCTTGGGGTGGGAGGACAGCTGGGACATGGCTTGCAGTGGAGGGGAAACTCGCTTATCTCTGAAGGGGCAGAACCCCAGGACTGGTTGGAGGGGGGAGATGCAGCTGTGGAGGTGCAGGGGCTGGCAGAGGGATATCGTGGTGGGTCCTGATGGCAGGTTGACCCTGGGAGTTGGCCTCCAAGGCCAGCCAGGGAGGGATGTCTGGAGGGCCATGGAGCCTCCCAGGTGCTCAAGGCTGGAGTTTGGGGATCCAGTGGAGGGCGAGAGCATGTGTTGCCCCATAGAGGGGTGAGCCTGGGGCCTCTGTGGGGACAGGGACCCTCGGCTCCAGGGGGCGAGGGGCAGGAGGCTGGTGCTGCTGCACAGCTTTGGCCCTGGAAAGCGGGGTGGGCAGGGGGCTTTGCTTGGGTTTGGGGCGCAAGGCATTGCCTGGCAACTGCGGGGGGGACATGCTCATGCCATCGGCTCCTCTGGCTCTTGCTGATACCCCTCACC